ATTTGTGTACATTACTTCTATCCTTTTAAGTAATACTGAAGTTAGATGTCATTAACCTTTAAATATATATCAAATACACTGATTTATCTGATTTTCCAAAAAGTGTGAAATGATTAAGATCTTATAACCTAATAGAGACATCATGATGTATTAATCAATGTATTAATCAAGAAGTATGCATGGTTCTAATGACATTTTTGAAAATACATTACATTTTAGCACCAGGGAAGCTTCCCCAAAGTCTAAGGGTATATGCAAATTTTTGTTTTATTCTGATTTTTAAATAAAAATATCTTACGTCTGATATGTTTCACTTGGGGTCTTTTAAAAAGTGAGCTCTTGGGTACAGCTTTCGCAATAAAAAGGTACAAATGTATGGTTGTACAACAAAATGTATGAGGTACCTGTGTGTGACACATAAATTTAGTTTCCTTTATATTCCTTAATTTCATTATTGTCATGCATTATTTCTTAAAATGGCTTAGATTGGTAATTTTTGTTGTCTCCTGTTGACGTGTAGAGGGCTGTTAGAATGAGCACAGAGGTAGTCACGGGCAATGGTAAAACTGATGGATATTCAATGTGCTCTTTCAAATTTGTATTAAGGACACAAAACCCTATGTGTTGTGACAACAAATGCATGTAGCTAGACTAAATTACATGAGCAGCCCTGACGATGTCTCTCCCAAAAAACCACAATAATTATTCATAAACCATCATATAAAGAAGTGAACAGTTAGGAGAACGGGGAAAGAAGCTGTGACTCCTGAGAAGCAAGATAAAATTACACACTCTTCTTAAGGACGAGACAAGGGTTCTGCCTTCATTTGTTTTCCTAACATCTGCCAGGACACAGCTTAGATAACGTTGCTGGTCACTGTTAGGTTCGGAGGGAAGCAGCACCCACCTAAAGATGTAATGTTTGGAGATACCGAAAGAGGCACAGGACAAGGGGCTGGTATAAACCAAGCGTTTATTGGGGGAGGAACTCCCGGGCGAGGTCCCGTGGTCCAGGAAGATGGGCCAGGGGGGTCGAGCCCAAGGAAGGGCGGCTTGAGTTTTTAAGGGTGCTGTATCCGGGTGGGTGTTGGGGGCAGCAGCGAGGTGGGGAGGCAAGGCGTCCAATCATCTCTGGTACCATGTGGCTGTTGCTGGGGTTGCTGGTAGGGTTGTTGGCAGGTGCATCCGGCCTGGGCTGGAAAGTCCCTGTCTGGTCCTTCTTGGCAGTTGGCGGCCCGGTCCATGCGGTTTCAAGCGAGATGTGCGGATGTGGGCTTGGGGTGGAGGGGCAGATGGGGGTAGATGGGTGCTGCTTCCCTCCGAACCTAACAACCACATTTCTTTTATTCTGATTCAAGCAGAAAATCCACGGCAGATCTACAGGAAACCTTATTGTAACATCATCAAAGGGAGAATTTTGGGTCAATGCAATTTGGAGGATGAAAATAGTTTTGCAATGTAAGTTTAGAAACTCTAGTTTATTGGAGGGTAACCTTTTAGATTGTAACTTTGCAGATAGTCTTTTAAAGTTTAAAAACTTAAAAGGCATTTTATTCGCCGGGCTCGGTGGCTCAGCCTGTTATCCCGCGCCTTTGGGAGGCTGAGGTGAGTGGATTGCCTGAGTCCGCGGGTTCGAGACCCGCCTGGGCAGCGAGACCTCATCTCTACAATAAATCAAAAAA